GTTATTATAAACTTAAAACAATGTTAATAATAATATCAACGATTATTAAATATTTTTAGTATTAATATCCATTGATTTTTCAATAATCAACTGAATAGGTCGATGCTCTTAAAGTCAAAATTTATTATTATCATAGGGGTTATCGATCCGAACACTAATTGGACACGCACCTCCACTCCTTCCCATCCTGAGTCAAACAATAATGTAATTTAGTCTGTCCTCTGCTCTTTTTACTCTTGTTTCTATTTCCAATAGGTGTAACTAATTTTTCATAACTTAGAAGTTCTACTTTTTTTTTCCATTAATTAAGGGGATTCAATAGTGCAACGAATGTTTCTCATGGGTGCGCAGCGTAGGACACGGGTGACAGAGATGTGTTTTCTCCATGTTATTGTTCTATCGGAGACGTCACCGAGGTAACAAAATTGCTCTATTTGATGGGGTGGTTGTTAACCGAGGTGGTGGGAGATATTCGGTTATTTTGACGGAATTTATAAGGAGGATGTCATCAGCGTGAAGGGCACCGAGCGGCATGGCCTAGAGGTTTAGACCATTGCTTAGCATTCGGGAGAACACCGGTTCGATTCCGGGTCCGTCTGCCTTGGTTCAAGTTTTTCTGTGGTTTCCTTGGATCACTTAGGCAAATACTGGGGCAGTAATATTCCACAGATAATCTTTCATTCTCTTCTGTCTTCATTTCGTCCGTCTCAACTTTCTCACCCGAACCACCACCCACCCATTCCCACGATTTCTGAAAGCAGGCTGAAGAGGGCCTTCCGCCCTAAGGAACTGCCCACCCACCAGCATTAGTGGCTGGTGGGAATGAAACTCCCAAAATTTTATTGGCGTAAAGGGCAGTGAGAATTAATGGATGGGACGGCATGTCTGCGCAGAAGAGGTTGAACAAAAGGGGCGACAGCAGGGAATCTTTGAGGACACCGGCTGTGACGGGTTTGCTGGAGGATAAGGCGGTCAACGCGGACACAAGGGTTCTGTCAGAAAGGAATGATCTAATAAGGAATTATGAAGTTTTGAGGGCGATAAGCCTGGAAATGAGACCTTGACGTCCAACTTGTGATCAATTGTTCAAATTTTTTAATTTACTCTGGATATACATAGTGGTTACTCATAGATTAGGTGAAGTGGTTACTGTTACTTATAATAGGCAACCTGTTACTAGTGGTCATTTTAGGTCATCCATAGATTAAGTAGTCATCGTTGATGGTGGTTACGGTGTGTACGATACAGTGCCACCACAGTTATTAACCATAGTTAGGTACACTACCAATTGACTAACGAAAAACGTAACTATTATTAAGCATAGATAAGGAATATTTAGTAACTGTTTATATTTCCCTTATCTATGATTATTAACATAAATATCAAATAATATGATTGAAGAATCAGAGATAAGACCCACTCTACCGTCGACGTGTAAGGCGGAAACACATTATTAAAACGCGACGTGACGCAACGTGTCGACACCCGATATGCACCGTGCACATTACCAACACGCAACTCCACGATATACTAGCAATTTCTGAATACAGTTAGCTAACAGCAGTGGAAGTATATGGTTATTTACTATGGATTTAATAAATAACGAGTCAGATGAAGACTTTGAAGAAGATTTGATGCAAATTTTGGGTACATATATAATACTTGTACGACTCAAGAAAAGAGAATTACTAGGCGGTACTGGGTACATGAAATAACTCAAAAGAGAACTATGTGTGTATAGAATAATATTAAATTGGCATAAATTCCATTTGACAGTTTGAAGAATAGGGATGAGGTCAAAGAATGTATATATGCTCTGTGATAGTTCTCGAACGACTCACGCGTGGCGTTGGGTGTTGTCTAGAAACATACAGCATTCGCCGCGTCGGATGGCATGTTTACCCCTACCATGGGCAACACACCGACCTGGAACGTCTGGATCAGGTGGCGTGTGCACGCATGGCGTCGCATCGGATGTTCATAGTGTAATTCTGGTCTATAGAAAANATTATGCTAGTTAAAAATATAACATCAAAAAACGTACTTAACGTCCATAAAATAAATACATACGTGAAGTGTGCTGACTGACGGTTCTGAAGCATAACCATGACCCTCATAATCTTCGTCTTCTGAACTGGAGGAACTAGAGGATTCATCTTCACGTGTTCTATAATATGCATATGTGGGTATGTTTTATATAAAAAATGCCGAACAGTAATAAATTAGTAACTACTTGCTCATGTAATTTGTACTCAGTAAAAATTAAAAATAAAGAATAATTGACAGTAAATACTAATCATAAGTTCCTTTAAATTTATACTGTTATAGCAACGTAATTTTAAAAGATCGTGCTCCAATTGATAACCATTTATAGTGGTTTTTTATTGCTGTGCATCTATTAGATTTATCAAGACATGTATCAGCTACATAGATATCTTTCGCTAAAAATCACACATTTTACAACAGATTCATCATGCTGTGATGTAGGTGTAACAAGAAATATTGGCAATTATCTGACGCAGGTACAACCCAGAAAACAAAAAAATTTACTAGATTGTTTAAGGCGAAAAATTTGTTTAGAAAATTTTATTCCTCAAATAAGTTTCTAAAATTAATTTAATTACCCTTCACTGCACGCTTAAAAAGTAATGCAACTTACCCAGGTACTTTACACACTAGTTGTGCTAGGTCAGTAAATGTGTATCCAGACATGAGATGCTGTTCTGCATGGGCCATTTTATGAGTTCCATGACTTTTAAAAAGAGGTAACATGCCAGCTTTCTTTTGGCCTTCAAAGTATGCCTTGCCATGCTGATAACCTACTTCACGAATTTCATCGAAACTACCAAATTGCAGAGTTCTATATTTGTCAATTGGTGGACGGATATACTCGCAATAGTCACTACTTTTCACTTCCTGTTAAAAAAAATATGAAAGGACTTAGTTGTCGAAGTATGACATCAAAGCTCATATTATTATGAAGCCAAAGGGCCCGGGTTCAATTCCCGGCGAAGGTGTGACAACAGTTACAATTATTCCTCATTAACCTGAGGTAGTTTGTAGTGGGAAAAAATGTAATGAATTTTCACAATATTTAATAGTAACCCCTATTAAATGTCAAAGTGTTTCACAAAAACATTGAGATAAACAACCAACGTCGCCCGGATTAGGGTGATTTATTAGTTGCTATTAAGCAACCACTATCTTTTGCTTTGTTATACCAGTGCATAGAAATAACAGTACAAATTATGTGTACTTGTTCTGACATTATAGACACAATAATGCCTTAATTTTAATAAATAAAGTTTTTCCTTATAACTTGTTGTATACACATTAAATATACCTAGGTAATAATATGCAAAAGAAATTGTTGCTTATTGGAAATATGGTATCATTATCGCTGATGGGTGAAAGTTCCGTATGTAAAACAATTCGGTGCTCGGCCATACGGACCTAACTATTTCATTAAAAAAATTGAATGTCGCAATCATATCCTGCGTAATTATTGTTCAAAAATAAGAGAAATTTTCAAAAATATCTCGAGTTCCTAGGGAATGTGGGGAAATTAAACAATTTTTAAGATTTCGGACAGCTGTTGTTAGTTCTCTACATTATTAGAATAGGAAAGAAGTTCCAATAGACGTAAGAATAAATTCATTAAAAAAGAATATTAGTAATAGCGCTGCTCATATTTTCCTAGGCTAGGAGAAGTTACAAAATATTGTACAGTAGTTAGCTGTAATGATAAAAAAAATAAAAGCAATCAAGATTATATGTATCAAATACAGGGACACATTTCGAACGCTTCTAACTTTTTCCTTTACACCGTTCTCACCGTCCACGTTTCGCACCCGTACAGCGCCGTGCTCCAAACATACACTTCTAACAACCTTTTTCGAATTTCTAAATTAACCGTTCGCGATCATAGAAGTGATTTGTTTTTATTGAAGGCGACTCGACCCTGCGCTATCCTCTACTTTATATCCCTACTACTTCTTCTGTCCTGACTTATATGACTTCCTAGATACCTAAAATTCTTTTAATTTTTCGTCTCCTAACTTTATATTCGCTCATTTTACTTTTTTTGTTTTACTTTTATTTATTTTCATACAGTACTGCTTTGTCAATACCGCTTCCAATTAGCTATATCTAAGTCCTCCTTGTTAGATGCTAATACTACTATATCATCTGCAAATCTAAGCATACTAATCTTTTGCCCCCGTATATCTATCCCTACAGTTGTACTGTCGTTAATGATGTTGATCGCGTCTTCGATGTATAGATTAAACAGTAGTGGTGCCATTTTGCAACGCTGTCTGACTCTCTTCCTAATATATACATTTTTATATATAATTATTAATAATCTTGTTTACTTTTATAATCACTAAGATTGT